ATATATATATATATATATATATATATATATGTTTCACAGAAATAAAGTGTTCTTTCTTTCATCAGGAAATTATAGATTTGTTTAATATCTTCTCATTAGGAGCATTGTTTGCCACGCGGATTTAAAATGTTAACAAGATTTCTTTTGCGAATGCTTTTATTAAATTTTCTGATAATACAGAGAGAGTACAATGCGTCACCAAAATAGCTTTAGGAAAAAGGACCTCATAGTTTCGTAATTATCCTTTTATACTGTCACGATTTGAAGTAAAATTGTAAATGCATAAATCTTATGAATTACTTTCTACAATACGCTCTGATTATACGATAACTAGAACTGTTCCCAACTTACTCAAATATGTGATTTTTACTTCTTGGTGTAAGAATAACTTCGTATCCATCATTCGTTTTAATGCAGGAGTAATTTTGATCTCGACCGTTTCATCATTCCTGGCTGTACCTCTGCTGCCCTTTCATCTTTCTGATTTTAGATAATGTCTTTCTTTCTTCATTCTTGAATTACCTTTACGTATAGAATATCTCCTGTCACCCGTTATCCAATTGGTCAATGATCACTTTATTGGCAAATAACGATAAATTCTTTTTGCTTATGGATACTTAGTCTTCACCATTCTTCTGAATCTCCTTTCAATTGTTGATTTTCTCTTCTAATCCTCGATCCTCTTTTGGTTCGCTTTTTTAGCGACAATTATCGATAAGAAACTGCGAACATCTTCTCTTTGAGCAACATCAAGAGCTGTTCCCTAAAATAATTAAAAAAGCATTATGCACGCAGATTACAACAACTGTATTATTTCTGATGCTCAAAGTTTGATTTTAAAGAGGAGTTTTATGTTTCAATAAATTTCCCATCATAATTTAAATAAAACTTCTTTGTCTTATTTTACATATTTCTTTAGAACTGAAAAACGATTAATGAGGATGTCCACAAAAGACGAACGTCAGAAGCGGAGTCATACAAAATAAATAATGAACCGATATTGTCAGATCATATAATTGGTTAATTGAAGAAAATTTATACGATCAATCAAACGACTTTTCATATATATAGTTAAAATTGTAAAAATACCAGTAGTAAGCAGACAGCTGCTTATTTACATTTCGCCAATGATTAATTTCTTTCTATATCAGTTTTGTATGCATTTTTTATAATAATTAGTTTGTTTACAGTGAATTGTTATTTAGAGAATAGTAAAAAAGAAAAGTATAGAAGTTGTCAGTTAAGGTTTTTCTTCAAGTTTGACCTTAATTGTTATCTTCTCTTCTGAATTTCGCGATAGCATTATTTGTACTTTTGGACTACTTTTGTAATTTAGCCGAAGAAGGTAATAATTTATTCTATTCGCTGAATCCGATTGGCAAGAATTGCATGGTAGGCAACTTATTATACTGCTCGACTAGCCAACTATGTTAAGATTCATTTGTTAAAAAATAATCAGCAACAACAATTGCAGCTCCTAGACTATGGAATAATTACTGTTTTTCCAATGAACTGCTTCTTCATTCTTTTATTCACATAACTATCCTACTGATGATTTTTCATTCGCTAACTACTCAACTGCAATTCATCAGTCATTTGCGAAAAATCTACTTCAATGTTACCGAGATACAAGTAGAAGCTCAAAAAGATTTGTGATATAAAAATTGGTCAAAATAAAACAGGTTTTTCCTTGTCCTTCTACGTTAACGCTCCACAACAGTCCATAGGAGCGGCAATTATTCAAGCTACTTATTCCAAACCTTTTACGGCTTTTGGTAGACTTTTGTCAGCACACAAAGCGGAAGCGCCTTATATAAAACTTTGCCTGTCTAATCGCAACTCTTCCAAACAACAAAATAAACCCGGGAAACCATGAAGTAAAATTTGCTTGCATTTGATCTGACAGAAACGACCAGGTTTATACAGCTATTTTAAACTTTTCAGCCATTATTAACCGTTTACACACGCAGAACAGTTTCAAAACTATTCCTTGTTTCAATAAACAGCTTTTTTCTAACATCTAACTCTTAATTTCAAACTCTTTCTACAATTCCTTACCTGCCACACATCCCTAGCGTTCAGGTCAACGCCGTTTTCGCCTGAAATTTTAACAGTTTCGGCATGTCCGAACTCAGCTGCGCAGTTTACAGCGGTCTCTTGTGAAAGAACCGCCTTCAGGATTCTTGCAGAATCCATATTTTGTTACCACTCCACTTGAGCTATATTTCGTCAGAGCTCATTTAATTGAAAGCTCTATCAGGTTCCCATTGCTCCTTGCCTGCTTTTTGAAATTTTGCCATTCTGAAAGGAATTACTTTAAAGTTGTATATTAAACGAGGCACCAAAATGCTCGGTTACTCTTGAATGCAAAATCTTTGCTTTAACTTCTTTTACCGCTTCAAAATACCAATATGTTGCACAACTGCAATATTTGCTCGATGACAAAGGGAGAATAAAAGAAAGACTAAACGAAAGAGGGCACAGAAAAGGTACAGGAACAAAATTGAAGCCAGACCGGTTTGTCTTGGTTTTCCATAACAA